CTGGAATTTTCTATTAGTGTCTTTCTTCTTTACATAAAAACAGTGAACTCCTTGAGGACAGGATATATATTTCTTAGTTTTGTGCCTTTACCACCTCCACACAGAGCCTAGGACAGTGATGGCAGACCGATTGCCCAGGGCCAAGGATTTAGCTCAGTGGCACTGTGCCTGCCTTGCAAGTGCAAGGTCCTGAGTTCGATCCCCAGTACTAACTAAATAAATAAATACCCACATAAATAAATAGCCCAAACTGCAACCCAAAACACATTTATTTATTGCAAAGTCCCAACACTGCAATTAAACCCCAACAGTGAGGTTTTAGTTTAGAAAAACAACTGTTCTCCAATGCTCAGCTGCTAGGGTGACCTGGCTTGTGCGGTGACAATGAGAGCTCTTTGTGCCTCTGTAGCACATGTACCACACATCTGCCACCACTGGCTTAGAATATAGAAGGTACTTAATTAATGTCTTTTAGGTGCATTAAGGAATTGTATAGTAAATGAATGGCAGAATGAATTAAATCTGACCATCATGAGAGGAAGTGTAGGCAACACTGCCTTCCCCTTGTTCCTGACCCACTGAGTGTGTGTCTGCCTTCCCCATCCAGACTTCCTTCTTTCTTGAAGCTCATGGTCTTGTTCTCAGGCTTTCTTGGCTGTTTCACATTCCCAGTCTGATATGGCAATCAGCCAGCTCTAAGCGTGAAGGGGTTAGAATGGATGAGGAAAAGGGTGGTGATTTCCCTAGCAGTCTGCCAAGCTCTATTCTGACATTCCTTAGTAGTTCCTTGGCATTTCCACTATAAGATGGTACAGTGAGCACACACTGTAACTTCCCCTTCCTGCCTGAGATCCTTAGAAATGATGAAAATATCTGAATAAAAATCCAGAACCAGGCAAGAAAAGAAATAGATTAGAGGCTCTGAGAAGTCCCTGATAGGATAACAGAAAAGAAGAAAATCAGTGCCTAAAAAGGCTTCTCAAAAATGAAAGCCATGAAGGTGATGAATACCAGGAGCAGGAGAAGGTCTTGGGGTAGTAAGTGTATACATCGGTACCCATATCTGCATCCCCACCTTGAATGCTCAGTCAGGTATTGGGTGTGGGGTCCTTGGGTCTGAGAACCTCAGCAGTGGCCATAAGTCCTGACAACATCCAAGAAGATCAAGGAGCTTGCAAAATCAGAAGATCAGGCCCTGGCACACCCGCCTGGCAGTTCCTACAGATCCAGCTTCACTTCCAAAGAACTGTCTGTGATACACTTGGCCAAGCAGCACACCCCATCACTTCCCTACCAATAAGTGCCATTAAAAGAATTCCTGATTAGATTAATAATGTCAAAAATAAAAGAGGCTTTCAGCTAAGAACCATCAAACATTCAAAGAAGCTAACTCCAAGAAAGAGTCAACATGTTCAACAAATGGAAGACCTTATATACAGAGAGACAGAGAAAGAGAACAATCAACTTATGGCTTTTAGATATAAACAATGTATATTTTCTGAAGGATTTAAGTAGATACTATGTCCATGAAAAAATAATAAGCTAGATATCCTTGAAATTACAAAGTTGGACTGTTACATGAAAAATTCAACAGTGTAGGCCGGGCGTGGTAGCGCACGCCTGTAATCCCAGCACTCAGGAGGCTGAGGCAGGAGGATCGCTGTGAGTTCGAGACCAGCCTGGGCTACATAGTGAGTTCCAGGTCAGTCTCAACTACATAGTGAGACCCTGTCTCAAAAAACCAAAAAAAAAAGAAAAGAAAAATTCAACAGTGAGGCCAAATAGCAGAATAAGCACCAGTGCAGAATAAATTAAAACTGGAAGACTGAGTTCAGGAACTCTTTTAGAAAACAGTCCAAAAAGACAAAGAGATGAAAAGCATATATATCAACATGGTAGCAGATTTAGGAGTTCCAATATTCATGCAACAGGAATTTTACAAGGAAGAAACACAGAGAACAAATCACAGGGACTATTCAAAGAAAGCAGTAAGAAACAATTTCTAAGGACTTAAGAAACTCAAAAATCTTTAGATTAAGCATACAATAAAAGCAGAGCAACCTACACACAAAATAAGACCCATTGTCTTAATGAAATCCCTAACTGTTTCTCCACCTTAATTCTCTCTCAAATGCTTCTAGAGAGAGAAAAAAAAAAACTATACAAAATTGGTCATCTTTAAAAGAACAAGATTCAGATTAGCTTCAGGATTTTAATAGCAACAATGAATACCAAAGAACAGATCTGCCTATTCTGTCACACAATAGCTAAAAGGTGAAAACAGCCAAATATCAATCAATAGATGAATGGACAAACAAAATGTGATATACACATACAAGAAATATTCAGCCTGAAAAAGAAATGAGGTTCTGATACATGGATGAGCCTCAAAAATATTACATTAAGTGAAATAAGCCAGACACAAAAAGGAAAAATACTGTTTGATTCTACTTATGTGAGCTAGCAAGAACAGAAAAATTCAGAGATGGAAAGTAGAACAGAGGTTATCAGGGAAAAGGGAGCAGAAAATAAGGTGATTTATTAATGCGTACCTAGAGTGTTTGGGACAACAAAAAGATCTCAAAATAGATAATGGTGATGTTTGAACAACATGAATGTACTTAATACCACTGAATTATATATTGAAAGATGCGAAACAGGCTAGGGGTATAGTTGAGTGGCTTTACTTTCACAATGCCATGGGTTCAATCTTAGGTACCAAACAAAAATAGTTAGAATAATAAAATTTGTTACAACTTTAAGATTTTTTTTAAAAGTAGAAAATATCCAATTCTCATAGGAGAAATTGAAAAGTTAGCCAAAGCTCTGAATGGTTTGATAGGCAAGATTTACCCATATCTGAGGCTATATTAATAACTAATATGTAGAGAGAATTCCTACACATGAATAAGAAAGGGATGAATAACTCAATAAACAAATAGGCCAAGGGTAAAAGCAGGTATTCACAGAGAAAAATATAAAGAGTTAATAATCAAATAACAGGAATACTAATCTCACTACTTACCAAGGAAATGCAAATTAAAGGAAGTAGATATTTTTTTCTTCCATCAGACTGATAAAAATGAAAACAGTATCAAATGTTGAGGGTAAAGAGAAATTAGTACTCACCTATATAGAGATGGTACTATAAATATACAAAAATTTTTGGAGGACAAATGATCAATGGTCTTTAAAATTTTAAATGTAGACAATGCTATGATCCAGAATCTACCCTAGAGAAATAAATATTGTGTGAAAGGGAGTGCATTATAAAAACAAACAATCCAACGCTTTGAAAATGGTTAAATAATGTGTTATGACATTCTATGTACAAAATGAGGTTAAGTCTATAAAAACTGACATGGAAAAAAAGTCTCTAAAATTTATCAATAGATTGAAAACAAAAAGCAGATTTCAAAATTAATCATATGGTATGAAAATATGTACTAAAAATAAAACCAAATGCCAGCCATGGTGGCACACACCTGTAATCCCAGGCTTGGGAGGCTGAGGCAGAAGGATCACCATGAGCTTGAGGCTACACAGAGACCCCACATCAAAGAAAAAACAAAAATAAAAAAACCCAAAAACCCTAAGCAAAATAAAATTGTCCAATAGAACTACAGATTTATATAAATGTCTAGACAAAAGCTAGGGGGACATCATTAAATTGATAAGTTTCACTACCTCTAAGAAGACCTATGGGATTTCAGGTATAGCTGAAGGCAACTAATACCTGTGTACTACTTTTTTTTTTTGTTTTGTTTTGGTAGCCAGTATCAAACTCAGGACCTTGTAATTGCAAGGCAGGTGTGGCAACACAGAGCTAAATCCCTGGCTGCTGTGTATTACTTTTTTAAATGAAAGAAAATGTATATATTTATTACTTATATAATTTTTTAAAAAGAAAAAAAAAAAAGAAGAAGCTTATAGCAGTCAGGCCTTGCTAAGAAGGCAGAATTGAAAACAACCACTGCTAAAGGCCATCCCTGCACTTCTTTACTGTAAGAAAGATTAGGATTTGTCAATCATGGTCATCTCTGCCCTCACGATGTTCTCCCTGCTGCTATTTTTAATAGAAAAGGCACTGAATCCAACCATCCTTTAGAATCATCATCTTCCTAATCTCTAAGCATCTGCTTTTCTTTCCATTGGATCTGAACCTGAGGTTAAAAACTCAACTGAGGTAAGAAGGAAACAATAAGGATAGAAGGTCATCATTTTGCCATATCTGAAGTTTTAGTGACACAACGTATTTCCTTTTTTCTTTCTTTTTTTTGGTACCGGGGATGAAACTCAGGACTTTGCACTTGTGAGGCAGGCAATGGAACCACTGAGCTAAATCCCCAGCCCAGAAAAATGTATTTTCTAAAGATTGCCATAGCAATATATTCCTTCCCATGTGCTTTGTTTTTATCAATGTTACTTTGATACTCTTCCTTCTTGAATCTTGGCAGCTTTGTGACTACAGCAGAAATTATGCTATGTGACTTCCAATGTCAAGCCTTTTGGAACCCAAGCACCTTACCATGAGGAAACCCAAGTAACCCATGGAGGTCAACAGAGAACTCAGTCCACAGCTGGCTGAGCTCCCAGCTGACAGCAACCACTAAGGTGCCAGCCAGGATAGTGAGCCAAGGGCTCTTCTATCCTCTCTTAAAGCTAACTTAGTTGATGCTGCACAGAGCAGAGAGGCATAGCTTTATTGAGCCAGGACAATTTTCACAGCCAACAAGTTTTGGGGTGATTTGTTTCATGGAAATAACCGAGAAAGTTGAGAGCTGTGCATACATACAAAAGCAACTGTCTGACCTGGGCATCTTCAGAAGCTGGGGTCAGGATATTGTAGGGGGATCCCTGCATCAGACAAAGTTAGAGCAGATAACATCACAGGTTGCTTCCAACAAGATTCTACAATGAACATGCTGAGCTCTGGGCTTAAGCCCTCCCTAATACCACCTCTTTTTAGGGAAAGGTCATCTTCTCCAATGGCATTTTACCTTTCAGAAAGCTGCCGGATCTGTGGAATTCCCATATACTTCTGGAAGTGTTCCAAAACATTCATTACACCCTGAAGGAGATTAGCAACTTCTCCATACTGTCTGCGCCTGGTCATGGCTCTGCAAGGAAACAAGAAGTTGAAAACTAGTAAAATACTAAGGATAAAAGACACAGATGTGGAATAATTTACTCAGTTTCTGAAACAGACATGAACTTTCTTTAATAAAAACTTACTAAGGACTAAATATGAATGGTGCTGTGCACTGGGTAGTGGGACCTGACTCAAATTTTCATTTGATAAGTCAGGTATACATCTAATAGCAAGTAGAATTAATTAAATTCTAAATAGAAGTACAGTATAGGTTATATGCCATGAGGTGTACAAAAGAATGTGAGAGTGATGGATTCTTACTGGGTGGGGAAGAGGAATCTGAGAAGGCTGGACATTATAGAATTAGCAGGCTTCCAACAGAGAACAGGGGTAGAGATGTAACTATCTGAGAATTGTAGCATATGGGCAAATCAAAGCACTTTCTAGGATACAAGGGCCATTTATATACATTTTTACATGTTAAGTCAAATCTGAAGGTTTTAACCCTATGATAAATAACTCTGTCAGAGATGTCTACTTACCCTGCTGCTGAAGTTAATGAAGCTTAAACAAAAGATGCTGATAAAATCAGCAGTTACACATAACAAGGAAGTACAAACTATTATGGTTGTACTTTTATTTTACATAAATGTATAATTTATAACTTCCCTTTAAAGGCATTTGAAAAGACCAGATCAAGTTCAAGCCAAGGTGTGTTACATTGCAATCAGGTCTGCTAACACTGACTGCCTGGAGGAAGGATAAGGAGGCTGTAGTTCACTGCTGCCCTGCCTGATCACGTCCTGTAGAAGAGTGAACCAGGGATCCCCTGACACCCGGCCTATATCCAAGAGAGCTCAGGAAGGAGTCTGCTCCTCCTACTCTTTCCTTCAAAACATTCTCCTACTCTCCCTCCCCCAAGACTGTGGCTATTGAATTTACTTTTCTGTGAAGATTCTCTCCATGCACATTTGTAACTACACTGAGCTTGGGTCAAGGGGAATTTTTAGCCTAAAACAGAACACAGAGGTAAATGGAAATGTTAGTGGGTTGCTTCTATGTAATAAATAACCAGCCCCTTCTTTTAATACCACTTCTAATGTGCTCAGGTATCATTCTCTTTATAGGACAAAAAGCAATTATCTTTGAAAAAATAGGTTTTTTAAAAAGGTGGGCTGAATGATACATCACAGATGTTTCTAAATGGTCTGTCCTGTGACAGTGCAACTCAGCCCACAGAAGCAGAAAACCCTGCCAAGGCTGAGGTTGTAGGGAGTAACTCTTGGTCTGACTCACCTTGTCTGCCTTCATGGTCTAGATCTACCACTCATAAATGATCCATATTCTTGGAATCATTCTCATGTGTTTTCTGGGTCCTCCTTGGATCATCTGTACCTCATGTTTTTTTAAGTTTTGAACACCAGAGGGCATACTGTAGAAATGGTAACTGCATAGTTACAGCCAATCTACTGAAAGTTGGGCAGCATGGTAAGGTTGGCTGGGAATGGCTATGGAGCCATTACCTTTATGCAATGGATTTCCTTCCTGTGAGCCCCAAACCCAAAATTGACATTGCTTACTCGAGGGAATCGACGCCACCTGCCAGCATGTGCAGGTGGTTCAGTGTTGTGATGGAGGTGGTCAGGTGGCGTTTGGCATGATCTAGCTGCTTAATGTCTCGGGTTATTTCTTTAACCTAAATATTAAAAAACAACAGGGGAGAAAGGTGGAAGGATAAGAATAACACATATCTTTCTGTAAATAGCTGTACAAGAAAACAATGCACATGAAGTAAGAAAAAAACTTCAGATTAACCCTTGGAGAAAACATTCTCACAATGCAAAATCAACAATTTCCAATCAGCTCCTTTATGTTTAATTCCATATTTCTTCAAACTTTATCCAAGGTTACATAATCCTTGGTTGTGATAAATAAATGAACTTTTATTTTCCGCTCTCAATGGAATGATCCAAATAGCAATGCAGCAGTGAACATACAGGGTACAGCAGTTAAATTGAGAACCTCTCCTCTTGAATAAGGTCTGAAAAGTGTGCCTTCTGCCACCTAGGTTTCAAGATTCAGCACAAAATGGATAGTACTAGTCAGCTAATCGTAATTGAGATGGTCTTTGTTAATGAAACTGGTGTTTACTGCCCAGCCTCTAGCAAACAAAAACATTCCTGCAAATCTCAAGGTCCAAATGTAACCCCTGTAACACAAACTTAACAAACAACATCATGAGAGGAGGGCCACAATCTTCTTGGAGTGAGAAGGTAATGTGAGGAGTAAAATTTTGCCAGTATGGCTCCAGTAGGCCCAAGAGAACAAAAGTCCACCTGGGAACGCAGCTATATTTCAATCACTGGAAAGTGAATTCAATGGAGAAGTTGGAAAAACCCTGAAACTTTACTGATATCCTTTAGGTGAACTCTTCCACTACCCTCAGTCTACGATGATCAAGAAATTCTAGGGCCAGGGATTTAGTTCAGTGGTGCTGCCGCCTGCCTCGCAAGTATAAGGTCTCAAGTTAGATCCCCAGTACCAAAAAAAAAAAAAAAAAAAAAAAAACACAAAAAACCCTTCTAATAGTCTGATTTCGGAGGTTCTGTGACAATGGAAGAAAATAGTACCCTGGACACTAGACCCAAATATTCTAGTTACTATACACGCATCTACCATTAAAGTGCCAAATTCAATAGCTGATGAGACTTGATTTTTCAGAGTCTGATGACCTTGGGTGAAATAAAGACTATGGCTGGCATAGCTCCATTCCATGCCCGCAAACCTGCAAGCTTGTCTTGGATCTTAGCAATGAAAATTCTCTTTCTCAGAGAAGTCCTATCAAGCCTAACTTCACTCATAACCCTCAAGCCATCTAACTACTTCTATTTTCATAAAAAAAAAAAAAAAAAAAAAAAAAAGTTAAGAATCCACCACTACTTTACTGAATAATTGAGCGTGGAGTACAAAAGATCAGAAGTGACATAAGAGACTAGAAATAGAAGTTTGGCTCCATGATCTGATCATCCACTTCCAACAATTAAATCATCATCCTATTTCCTGTAGAAAAATCTTTGTGCCTCTTTCCAATTCAATAGCTCCGCCCCAATATTAGAGCTTTTGCCTTCTTTTTTTTTTGGTACCAGGGATCGAACTCAGGTCCCTGTGCTTGCAAGGCAGGCGATGGAATCACTGAGCTAAATCCCCAGCCCATGCCATTGTGTTTAAAGTCACAGTCAACTAGGCTTCTTCTCACACCTCTGCCAGATCTTGAATACTTTTCCTCTGTTGTATCTCAAGATTGTGCCCCTCTACTCTATCCCTCACACAGCCCCTCAGTGCTCTGCACCAGCTCACTGGTCTTTTCATTTCCCAGTTCTCCCACCATTCTCATCACACATCCTGTGCTGCTCTAGATGAACTGAACTACTACCTACTCCCAAAACAAAACCTTTAATGGTAGAGCATGAAAGAGCTATTATATTGTACAAGAGCAGACTTTTCTACAAAACAGATTGGCCATAGTTAATTTACTTTAACTGTTATCCATGGGCATCAACAAACAAATGAACAAATGAACAACAAAAGACAGAAGATGATATGGTGGGTTTAGAGTCAGACAGATCTCAGGCTGAATCCCAGCACCACCAATTACCAACTCTTTGTCACAGACTAACTTTCTCAGCCTAACCAACTCTCAGTTTCCTCATCTATAAAATAGATAATAAATAATCATAAAAATAATGATACTAAAACTTAGTCCATAGGGTCATCAGGAGGGCAAAGGATCTGGCACCCTGCTTGGCCCATTGAAAGAGCTCAAAAACACCAGATCTCATCTTCACTGCTTCTTCCCCCCTTTAAAAAAAATACTGTTCAGGAAAGAAAATTTCTTTCATCTAAGTCAACTAATAATTTTAGAAGAAGCTTCTTTGAGCTGTCATTACACGCTCCCAGGTTGGAAAAGGGAAGGTAGTCCAGAACAGCAATTTAGAACTATAAAGTTAATCATGAGTAAAAAAACCTGAGTACAATAAAACTCCAGCATAAGTCACATATGACAGCATCACTATGATAACCACCCACCATCTGCTCCTGGCTGGTGCTGAATGCAGGGCATCCTTGGGGGAATGACTACAAATCAAAATCCCTAGTACTTTGCTTAGGACTCTGTACACATTCATTTCTCACAACAATCCTGTGAGGCAGATGCTAACATTCTTATTTTATAGTTGAAGAATCTGGAAGCGTTACATTACCTAGAATTTCAGCTAAGGAGCTAGCACATTCCAGGGTCACCCACAGAGTAACAGTGGTGAATGCTGGATTCCTGGTCAGCAGGGTGGCTTACAGAAAACATCCCCAGGGGCCACCAATTTGTAGAGTAAAAACTTAATCAAAGCCATATGCATGTAATATAGTCAGGGTAGATCCTACCACCTAGACCCAGGGCCTGTTTCAGTGTACTACCAAATTACTTGTCATGTATCTTAATTGAGAAATACATGATATAAACAAATGCTAGAAGAAGGCATCCAAAATGACTAGGAAAGTCTTTTTTGGGAAAAAAAGAAAAAGAAAACTTTTCCTATTTAAAAACAGGGCTGCAAATGTAGGGCAGCAGGGATTATGAGTCACCCTTGTCTAGCAGCTCCCCTTGAATCAATCTGGAACACACCCACAGAGCTTTGCCTGAGAGATGTGGATGAATGTGGTTGGCAGGAAGTGGGAGGGAAAAGTCCATTAATTACTATGACTGGATGAGAAGTTGACTTCCTTTTTAGGTGCAAAACAGTAAGGAAGAAACCTAAACTCACCATTTGTTCTGATTTTTCTGCTTTGTCTTTGATATCTTTGATTTTGCCAAAGAGTTGCTGAATAGCTTTCTGGGCTTCTTCAAGTGCCTAGAGTTAAGAGAAATAAATGAAAAACAAGAAGTCATGCCAAGACAGCATCAGTCATTACACCAAAATCAATTCTAGCTTGCTTCAGAAGATAATTATCATAAAGCTCTTTTGATTCATTTACTTAAATTGACAATTTTATTTTACCAAACTAGTAGAGAAATATAATCCAGCACTCAGATATAGGCAATTACCATGCTTACCAATCTACATCATAAAGTTTTTTTTTTTTTTGGTACTGGGGATTGAACTTGGGTCCTTGCGCTTGCAAGGCAGGTGGTGGAACCACTGAGCTAAATCTCTGGCCCTACATCATAAAGTTTTACAATTTTGAGGGGGTACCTGGGATTGAACTCGGGTCCTTGCACTTGCAAAGCAGGCCACCAAACCGCTGAGCTAAATCCCCGGCCCTCATCATAAAGTTTTAATTTAAAAACAACTGTTTTTCTTTGTCTTGGTCATTGCTATACATGGTATTGTTGACAATTAACAACATGCACACCCATGCATGGAGTGAAAAGTCTGTAAAGTCTTTAAAGAGACAGAGGTCCTCTAAGTCAGCTGTAGGAGAAGCTCTGGATTAGAAATTCTGAAAGACTGGGTCAAAAAACAAAAGACAAACCCCTCCAAAGAAAGAAAGAGAAAAGGAAGGAAAGAGAGAGGGAAAGAGAGAGGGAGAGAGGGAGAGAGAGAGGGAGAAAGAGAGGGAGAGAGAGAGTGAGAGAGAGAGAGAGAGAGAGAGAGAGAGAGAGAGAGAGAAAACCAGGACTGTGAATAAGGACTCCAGAATTGTGGCAATTCTTAATGACACTTATAGTGTCCCACTTGAAAACTAATGATATGAGGTCAGAAAGTCACACTTGAAGCTAACTATGAGCAAAATGTTTCTATGGAAATAAAAACCTACCAAGATGGATATTGCACATGAAAAGTATTACAACCTACAGTATCTTCTGTGAGGAGATGCAGCAATAGGAGGGGAGTTTGGAGGATGCTAAGCTACACATGTGCAAAATACATGTACTTCATGGTCCTATGACTGAAAATGACCTACAGCTGAACCAGTGCTCTGAATTTCTTGGCAGCCAGAGTGCCAGTCACATAAGTCAGCATTTCATTCACTCTTTCACTCATTCACTCATCCAACAAGCATGTACTAAATACATCCAATATACCAGGGAAGAGAAGAGGGCCAGGGATGAGCTATTGGGTGTTCAACATCCAGAAGTCTAAAAGAAAAGGAGAAAGCAAAAATGCAAGAGATAAAACCACTGGCCACATGAGAGAAAACCAAGGACTCCAAGGACTATGATGTTACAAAAGCCAAACTAAAGTGTTGGAATGAGGACAAGAGTGATCATGTCTCACACTGGAAAAAGGCTATATAAGATTAAGACAGAGAAATGCCAGTGGCAGCAGGGAAGTTGCCGATGATCTTGACAAGAACAGTTTCAGTGGAGTTAGGACAATTAAAGTGGACAGCAATGACATGATGAAGTAAAGACAATGATAAAGAGCAGAGACCAGCAAATGGTATCCAGCAGCCAAATCCAATCTGCTACCTATTTGTGTAAATTATGTTTCTTTTTAGGGGGGGACAGCCTAACCCATTCATTTAGGTATTGTCTATGGCTACTTTCCCATACAATGGCAGTGAGGCACAGTTGTAACAGAGACCAATAGCCCATTAAATTAAAATATTTACTATATATGGCCCTTAGAAAAAGTTTGCTGATACCTAGTACAGACTATTTTTTCAGTGGTTTTTGCTGTCAGAAGACAAGAAAATGGAGCAAAAGATGGGGTAAAGGGAGGACATTTTTAAAGATAAGAGATACTTGCATATGTCTGTTATATAAATCAGTAGAGGACAGAAACTACAGGGGGAGAGTATAATGGAATAATTACAGAAGAGGACTTTTGAAAACAATGTTCTTGTATTGTTAATGTGTAAGTATTAGCTGTATAATATGGTTTTATGTATCCTTTAGAGCATGGACCAAGGACACAAATGGTTTTCTCATGTGACTCACAGTTAAGGCACTATCCACTCTGGTTTAGTCTGGATAGTCTTAGTGTATTGTCTCAGTATAATTATTAATGGCTCCCTCTCAGAAAATTACTCAGGTGATAAGTTATATGGTCAGCTTACCTACAGCATATATACAAAGCTAGAACACAATTAGAATACAATTCTTTGCTGAATGGTTAAAAATACATCAGGGCACATATATGAGTGGCAGTGCAAAGACTACTGCTTTATATGAGTCATGCTGACACCCACCACTCCCCACCACACCACTGAATTCAAGATCCTCCTGCCTCAGTCTCTTCAGTGCTAGGATTACAAGCGTGTATCACCACAACCAGCACATCACCCTTCCCATTATTATCTACTTGGCTAATATGGAGTCTAATGACCAAGATGCTGCAATTTGAAGCCTACCAGATGGTTCTGAAAACTGCTGGGTCATGTGTGAAAAAGTGTCACAGAAGTCTTGGAAGCAACTGACTACTAGAAAGTACCAGTCTTCTTGGGCGTGACTTGCATGGGATTCTGTGATGTTGTAGGTCATGTCATGTTATGATGATGGGATTGTAACCAACACTCTAAACACATGACACTCAGAGACGAAGCAGAGAGGGCCAAGTTCTATTCTTAGATCCAAGTCTGAAGAAGTATGTGTGATACTTTCTTAGAGAAAGGATTCCTATCCCTATTCTCTTATTGTCAGTCTGGTCTCCCACCAGAACTGTCTCCACTTTTTCTTCCAACAAACAAGTAAGACTCACACAATCTTGTATTTCATAGACTTTAAGAAAGATAAACGGTCTGCCAGATTTTTTTTTCAGGCTGGAATACTTTTGCTTGTTATAACAATGTACTAAAGTTGGTGAAATTTAATATAATTCTTTTTCCAGAGTCAAAAATGTTCCTTTGAAATATTCACTGTATCAAGCAAGTCCATACTCAAAACACACACCCTATTATTTGATATCTAACCTCTAATAATCAATTACCAGATAGAAGAGCATTTTGTAATTGGAAGAATCGCAAGATCTACAAAAGAATAAGATTTTATTTTAAAAGTTACTAGAATACTACCTGGTTAATCAGAAAATGTGCTGATTCTGGTACAGTCCCTAGACACTCTTTAAAATAAAATGTGGCTACTTTTCCATTCCAAACTGGATGTGGATTAAAAACTAATCACCCCAAAATGTCTGCTTTCAATCCATCCCAAGTTTCTCCTCTCCCTGGAGTCTCTGAATTGAGCACTGGACCGTGGCGGTAGCCTGCCTCCAAGGGTGTTATCAGGCAGCAGTTAACTGTAGTCCTCCTCTTTAGTTACTCAAAATCTGTAATTAGGAGATGCAAAGCAACCCACTAAGTTAGCCTTCAAGACTAAGCAAAACCAATTAGAGCACCCATGTATTTTTGTGCATCATTAACTGTAACTGTGACTCTTAACTTTCCTTGCCTCTGAAGAAGACTCTGAATCAGCTCTCAGAGCCACACTAGGTTATGTTCATAGATGATACGCAGTATGGGATCTGGCACAGACTCTTTGTTTTCTTCTTTCCCTTGGCTCCCTGCTCCCTCCACCAGATCTGTTGTTTGCCACCTGTGTAGACAGAGGGGCTCTGATCCAATGAAAATGCTTTGAGAAATAAACATCCCCTCTGGCCCTAAGATACAACTATTTTGCAATGTGGTCTGTCAGAGAATTATACTGCCTTTATCCTGTATACCACAGTCTTTCAGATTTTAAATGGAGATCTCATTTGCTGCCACTGCAGGAAGGAGAAGATTGTTTATTTTCAGAACTGGTATGACTTTAGATTGTTCTCTGAAAAAATAATGTGCTGAGCTGGGGATTTAGCTCAGTGGCACCTATGCCTCCCTTGCGAACTCAAGGTCCTTAGTTCGATCCCCAGTACAAAAAAAAAATAAAATAATAATAATAACAGTAATGTGCTAGTATTCGAAGTTACTAGGAAAATTAGATTCTTTCCACCACTCTGCTATCACATCTATTTTCCACTTCTACATATTTCCTCTAATAGTATAATGGTTAATAGGAAGAGTTTTTGAGCCAGCAGACCAAGATGGCTTAGTCCTGCCACTTAATTCTGTGATCTTTGGCAAGCCATTTCACCTTTAGAAGGGTAGTCACAATTCTGAAATAGAAATAACATCACTGCAAAGACTTTCTGTTAGAAAGGATCACAGGGTTAGGTAGTGACCATCTTTGTACTGACCCAGTATTCTTTTCTCTTCCTTCAAGTCTTTTCTTATTACATTTTTACAGAGTCCACTAGCCAAGGGGCACACTAGACCCAAGCTGGGCCAATGGGAGTTTTCCCATCTTTTTTTTTCCAGAACTAGAATTGGGAAAAAGAGTTAAACTCTTTGGTGGTGGGAGCCCCAAGATATAAGACTGAATTAAAGAGCAATAAAGTTTCCCAGTAAAGGGAAGAAGATAGAGAGAGAGAGAGAGAGAGAGAGAGAGAGAGAGAGAGAGAGAGAGAGAGAGAGACAAAGCCATCAGAAAGACAGACACAGAACCACACAGAACACTATTCCAGTCCTGGACTTTAGCTGTTGGACAAGCCTGGCTGAGATACTACTCTTCCCACCATCAGACTCTTCAATTTCCTTCAAAACAAGATCCAACAGGATCCTTCCAAATATTTCTCCTTTTTGCTTAGGGCAATTCAAATTGGGATTTTGTCTTTATAAACAAGAGAGTTCTGAGTATATAAAGTGCCATGCTTATGCAAGGGGCTTACTAAATGGTAACTATTGATATTATTCTCAGATCTCTCAAATGGAATGCAGTATTTCACATGAGACTGTTCCTCTAAGAGTCAAAGGCTGTGACTCATCTTTTCGTAGAAGCCTTGTCAACAAGCTCATTAAACCTGGGAGTGTTGATGTACACCTATAATCCCAGCTACTTAGGAGGTGGAGGCAGGAGGATCACAAGTTTGAGAAC